TAGCGTGCCACAATTATATTGAAGACCAAATTGAGACAAGAGGTGAAGACTTGGCGGACGTTTAGTTTGATGGAATGAGTTTTAAAAGAATTAGACTTTTTAGGAATATTCGGAAAAAAATTAGTGCGTTTGATTTGTAGAATTTGGAATATAATAGAATTCCGTTATTTATAAATAATTTATAGTAAAAAAACGGTAAAAATGATTTTTTTTATTAATTGATTGTACAAAAAAAATGGTTTAACGTATTTTAAAACATTATTACATATGAATTCTACGAAATCTCATAGTATTCAAAATACCAACAAACCATGGGTGTTCAAACTACTGTATTTCTGGGATTTCATTCAAATATAGGAAATCTTTCAAACCAATCCTGCCAACCAAACAGTATCTTAGTTCATTGTCATAACTGTATCAGTTGGTAAACTTTTGCGATACTGAAAATTTAGCGATGTATATTTTGTAAAATGAATTTTATGAAAACGTTTTCTAAAAGCTTTTTCTAAGGAGTTGTTTGTTTATCTCTTAATAGTTCCATTAAGAGGCAACATCTGAATCGTTAAGAGGTGAATCTTGTTTGGTAAAAAAAAGTCTGCTTCTTAATGGTTCTAAAACCCTCTGAATGATTTTGTATCCTACATCTCCCTTAACCATTAAGAGCCCTAATTTCATTGTACACAATTACCAAACAATTATATTTCATTAATTTTGCACTATATCATGAGAGCCTCTTAATCATTCTGCATCAAACCATTCAGCAATTGTCAAACAGCCCCTAAAAGCTTTTTCTAAATCTGAATTCAAAACATTATATATACTCTTTTTTTCTTATGATCAAAAGCCTTTTTCATGTTATGTTATGATTTTGATGGTATTCACATAAATAAAAACGAAAGCTTTTAAGTATATTTCTGATAAAGTAATGTAATCATATTATCGTTATTGTAATAAAAACAGGTATTTTGTGAGACGATTGACTTATATTTGATGGATTTTAAAGTTCATAAGTTTGATCACAATCTAGCTTAATACTTTGTAAATTGTTACTCATTTCGTCCCAAAATAACTGTTCATATTTCTATTTTAGTTTGTTCCATAATAAGTTTTCATTTTCAACAGTAACCGTTTATTTCCCCCTTTTCACTCTTAATATAACTTAAAAAATTTACACTTAGGCCCTACATTTTTATGGTTTCACAGACAACCATGTCCTGAAAGGTAGGTCGGCCCCTAAGGGTAATAAAATTGTGTTTTTTTAATTGTGAATAATTATTTTGGAATAGATGAACATATTTGATTATTATGCTATGATGCAAATGCAGAATTTTTATTTATTTATAATGATTAAAGTTTATTAATTGACCAATAATATACGGAGAACCATATTTGATCATTCTTTAAAATTTCCAATCATAGACCAAACATATCGGGACGCAAATGTCTAAAAGCAATATTCTTTAGATTCATATTCCATTCTTACCCGTAAAAGTACACATATTTACTCTTCCAAAAATGTCTCACACAAATATCCAAACCTGACAATGACAGCTAATCTTGAAATCTGATCGTAGAAATATTATTCGTTATTACTATTCTCGAAAGTTTATTTCTTAAGAACCAATAAGAATGAATGAGAACCATTGTCATCATAATCATTCAAAAGAAAACAATTTTTTCAACTTTTGAATAATCAAATTTAAACTGATTTTATTATATTATATTATATATATATATATATATATATATATATATATACACACATGGTCATTGGATTGCCAATGTTCAAACTAGCCATAGAATTCAACTTCTTTATAGATGAAG